GCTGAAAAAGCTTTTGACAAAATGTACTGGAAATTTATCTTTGTCACATAGACTAAATTTGGTTTTCCTCACCACTTTTTGAAATGGATTATAATTTTTTATTCATCTCTCAGATCCAGGATGCTAAGTAATGGCATATCTTCCACGCCATTCCCACTTTAAGGGGTACTACACAGTGTTGCCCTATTTCTCCTCTTATTTTTGATTTATATCTGGAACCTCAGCTTGTACCTTTAGACAAAATAACATTTATGGCTTTGCATATAAATCCCTGAAATTTAGAATTACTCTTTATGCAGATTATCTTTTATTATTTATTTTAGAACCTCAGTCTTCCATTCCTGCATATGATTAATATATGCAATATGATTAATACTTTTGGAAACTTGTTTGTATATTTGATTAACTGGGCAAAATCTGAGTTGATGTCACTGGGAGACAATATATCACAAGAGTACATTTGCCTATGGACATTTTTAGTAGTGCTCAGATGTCATTACTTATATCTTGGAATACTGATTTCTAGAGATATTACATGCATGATTATGTTAAATTTTAACAAACAAATTGCTGATATATCTTTGGATTTGGACAAATGGTCAAGTTTGAACTGGTCTCTACAGGGCAAAGCAAATACACTCAAAATTAGAGTTCAGTGGCACCCTTAAGACCAACTAATTTTGTTCTGTTGCTTCAGACCAACACAGCTACCCACCAGAATCTACACTCAAAATTAATTATTATACCTAGGATTATTTCTATTTTACATGCAATTTCTTTCTATATATCTTGCAGATATATTAATAAAATTAATACTTTGTTTTGGAAATTTGTGTGGGGTTTCTCACCCACATCAAATTTCTTTAAAGAGGATGCAATTTCTATTCAATGAAGTGAATTTGGTTTTCTTTATATTAGTTTATATCATCAGGGATACTTATTAACTTGTACAAATTACTGGATCACTCCTTGCAATTGGACTATCCTTACTGAACTAGTTCTTCTTGTCTGGTGCCCCTCTCTAAGTGGAATGCATTAGGGTCTACTTATGCTAGACTGCACCCCATTCCTCCTACAATTTCTACAACTAAGGAACAATGATGTGTAATGGCACAACAATATCAATTGGATCCATTTTCACATTCTAAATTAACATTATGGACCAATCCAGATTGAAAAATTGGGAAGAAATCTTTTTTATGGAAGGCTTTGACTGATGGGGGACTTTTACATTGGACCAATTGACAGATTATGATTATGAGTTTTTGTCATTTTCTCAGCTGAGGTCTAGAATGACCTGTCACTTTCTGTAGAATGGCAATATCTACAATTTCAAGATTTGCTGGTATCTAAATAGGCCCTGCGATATTAAGCGTCTCAAAATCCCCTTTGCTCCTGGAAACTAACTGAATCAAAGAAAAACAAAGCCTACAATGTTTGTTTATGAATATTTGATTCTGATTAATAAATATGATATGCAGAAATGAAAACAATAAGGAGCTAGATCACCCTATATTTCCAAAACAATGGGGAATGGCCTTGAAGTTTATACCTGCCCTCTCCGTGGTTCTTAAGTTGAGACTTGTCCAGTGTATCCTAAACATTTTTTTTTTTGCTGTATATCACAACAATTCTTTGGCAAAGGATTGAGTAAAATGTCTCATTGTTGATGTTGTCTCACAGGAGGCATCCCATAAACATATGCTTTGGACATGTTTAGTCATTTGGTTTTGGGGAGAAGAAGTTATCACTCATATCAATTTTGTATTAGAATGTCCATTGATTTTTGAGAATGCTTATGTACTTTTAAACTATCTGCCCATCCTTCAGAGGCTAACCGATGGACAACAGAAATGGACCCTCCATGCCCTTACTACAGCTAAAAGGCTTGTATTACAACACTGGAAAGAGAAAAGCACACCTCTGGTGACTCAATGGACTGAAGACCTTAGAACTCGATCAACATTTGAATGTGTGGTATATAGACCGCAATTGCATAAGGACTTATTTTTAGATATTTGAAAATTGTTTATAGAAACGTATGTCTAGATCCACCATAACTGTCACTTTACTTTATGTATATCTTTTAATTCTTTTAAAAATCTTACTTAGTTGCTGAATTTTAAGTGTTTTTTTCCTGTTTTTGTTTGTTTTTGAAAGAAAAAAAGAATTTCATGGACCCCCCCCCCAATTATTTATCATTTAGGTTGGTCTGAGAGTTAGCAAGTGGCTAAAAAGACACCTTACAAGTTCCATAGCTAAACAGGGATTTGAATCCAGATATAACTGACCCATTATGCTTAGTGGCTCTCAAATACTTCCAAAACTATCCACCAGTGAAGGAAAGGGACAACACACCTGTAACAGAGAAAACTGATGGCTTCCATGGAATCGTTCCACAGCATGCCCCTCCAACATGGCCATGCCTCCCTTCCAGTCAGTCTCTATTCAGGGTAGGCAACCCTCCTAGATGTGATTGGATTAATCACCAATGATACCCATACACAACAGAATCATCGGACCGCAGTAGCTGTTACCCATTACATTTCTGTATGAGTTAATGCTCTAGGCTTGCCTCCTTATAACACGCAGGTTCCTATAACAGGCAAGTTCTTATGAATGCTTCCTAAAAAAACACATGCTTCTCTAGGCACATAGTAACACATACTCTAAAAGTAAGCCTCTGCAGCTGTAAGAACTAAGCATGCATTGTGGACTTCAGCTATCAGATGCTTGGGGAACCATACGCAGTAATTAAAATAGAATGATTTTTAAATGTCTCTAAATTAAAGATTAGTTCAAGACAATAAAAACTCTATACATAAGATGTTAAACATAATTGCCAATTAAACATAAAGAAATTTCTGGTTTTCTGAAATATCAATAAGGCTGTAAGCCTAGAGACCCTTGCCAGTGAGCTCCAATGAACATAGTGAGGCTTATTTTTTGGGTAAACGAAATGAGAATTATGCTGCATGTGAAACATTGCCTTCTGCAGGTTTTAGCTTCTTAGTTTTACAAGATTCCCATTAAACCACTATAACTGTAGATATAAAGAACTGTTTGGGCAGGAACAATCTCATCACTGTGGTAAATGTCCCTGTGCTAAACATCTAGATTAGATTACTGCAATGTGCTCCAAGAGCCAGTGTGGTGTAGTAGTTAACAGCAGCGGACTCTAATCTGGAGAACCGTGTTTGACTTCCCACTCCTCCACATAAAGCCAGCTGGGTGACCTTGAGTCAGTCACAGTTCTCTTAACCCCACCTACTTCACAGGGTGTCTGTTGTGGGAAGAGGAAGGGAAGGCGATTGTAAGCCACTCCAAGACTGCTTCAGGTAATGAAAGGTGGGGTATAAAAACCAACTCTTCTTCTTATATTGAGCTGCTCCTGAAAACTGTCCAGAAGCTACACAGTTGATACAGAATGCTGTAGCCAGAATATGGACTGGAGTGGGTCCGAAGGACCACGTCACTTCTGTCTTGTCCATCTACACTGGCTTCCAATTTGCTTCTGGGCCCAATTTAAGGTGCCGATATTGACCTTTAAAACCCTACACAGTTTGGGGCTAGCATATCTGAAGGACTGCCCACTCCCATATGAACTTATCCATCCACTCCAGACATCTTCAGAGGCCATGCTTCATCTAAGGCTAGACACAAAAAGCCTTCAGGGTTGTGGTTCCAAAACCTTGGAACTCCCTACCCAGGGAGATCTGTCTGCCTTACTCTCTTTTTCCATCAGTGAGTGAAGATTTTGTTTTTTTGGCATTCCCCCACTAATTGTTATTGGCCCCTGTCACAAAATTGATTCCCCAGTTGTGTGTTAAGTGCTTGAATTCATTTTTGACTGTCATCATTTGAAAACTAGAACCCCATGTATAAATGCGTTTTCTGGATTGTTATTCAAGACAAATACTTAACCTGTATTTGGTTATTCTACAGTGTAATTACTAGCAGCTAGAAACAGTCAGAATAATTGTTCGACAGTTGGCCATCTATACACTGTTACAGCTCAAATGTCAGTTTTGACAGCTAGTGATCTAGATGCCAACTTAGATCAGCTAATTAAGTAATTAACTATACTGATTGGTTGCCTAATTAGCAAGTTGACAGCTGGGCTAGTATATAGGAGTTTGAGGGCAGGGGTTAGGTTATCCTATCTTAGGATATGCTAACGACAGAAGCAGTGCAGAATGCAAGAAGCCAAAAGACATGCTGCATGCTAAAGCCACATGAGAAGCACGTGTAAAGCTGAGAGGACTATACCATTCTCTTCAGGACTTCCACTTCCCTGCATTATTGGCTGCTGGAAGAGCTGCTACTCAAGACATCTGCTGGAGCTTTGGAGTTTGAAGCCACTTAGGGGCAGTGTTTAGAGACATTAGTCAGATAGGTTTGTTGTTTTGTTGTTCCATTATACACTCTTTTCCCTTACATGTGTGTTTTTATGTTTTGTCTGTTTTTGTAATAAATTCCTAAAATTATATTTTTCAATTCTGGCATGAGCTACTAGTCCAGAACCAGGCTTATTTTGTTTCACTGCCATGCTTTCGCTACCAAAAAGACCTTTTGCTAATTGGATATAATTAAATTCCTTTTTCATATAAAATCTCAGCCAGGTGACATCATTGGGACACCCAGATGTCATGACAGCCCCCTTCCATGATTCTGTTATTATGCATGTTTATACATTTTATTTAATTGTTTAAATATGTTATTTACACTTTTTAAATGGAATTTAATGTGTTGATGCTTTAATGTTGGAATGTTTGCTACCTTGGGAACCCTATTTGAGTGGAAAGGTGGCACAGATATGTTGTAAATAAATAATGAAATACATAAATGTCTATAGCAGTCCTAAAAGCATTTTGCAAACCACAATAAAATCCCCAAGCACCACAGAGGAAGGAAACCCTCAACTTACGCCTACCCAAAACAATTTCTAATGTGAACTATTCTAAAAACTGAATGGATGTTGTTTGCAAAGGATCTGTTACCTGGACTTAGTTCAACCAGATAAGGTAGTTTCTCTGGAGGAAGGGAAGAGCCATAACCAGACCCGTCAACTCTTTCCTTTCCTTTAAATGGCTTTGCATCAATTTGTTTCTTTGACTTCTTTGGGACATAATCAGGTGGCCGCCTTTTCAACTGAAAGACTAATATTCCTAAACACAGAAACACGAAAAGATTATTGGTTCTGCACTGCTTTTAGTACATGCATAAATAAAATTTCTACAAAACAGCACTTGATTATGTTTACTGGCTTGGCTCCAATGGAGTGTTTCCATGGAAGGATGGATTTCTGCAAGAATGTTGGGTTGCAGCGGGAGAAGGAACGGAGAAAGTCACGGTTCCAATTCATAGAAACACTTTGTACGATACAATGCACCAGCCAACTCTGCCTTTCTACACTGTCATTATCCAAATTAAATAAATTTAATTTTGTTATTTATATTATTTATAGCCCACCTTTCTCACTGAGACTCAAGAAGGACTGCACAATGTAATTCAATGTGATCAACAGGATAAGACATCTGATAAATAATGTAATCTGACTAGGACTACAAGAAATCAAAACGAAGCATAGAGTATTAGACACGATATGTTAAACAATGTAGAAAATAGTATTACATAAGCATAAAGTGAGAGCAGTATAATACATACAGCAAACAGATAATACATTCCCATTCCCTACGTAAAAGTGCCTTCCTGAATCATTTTATTGTAATACATAATCAGAGAACCAAACAATTTTCTACTGGAAAAAGCTCCAATATTGTCCTCTTTAAAGAGCCAACAATCCTAGTGCAAATACCTAAAACTAAGATGGATTCTCTCTAACACGGTGTTAAGAGCCTTAAAAATACACACTGCACAACCTAGTTACCTTTATCACTTGGCCATTCCCTGAATATCTGAAGTGGGCACTCATCGTCATCCAGAATAGACTCTTTAGCACCTTTATCATCAGAATGCTGTGCACCAGGAGGAAGCATGACCTACAGAAAAGATAAACAGTGAATTTACTCAGAACAGTTACCCATAGTGCTCTTGACCACACTACTTTTATCACTCACTCAGTATGAAAGCATGTTGCTACAAGCTATACAACATACTTCTTCCTTGAATCCAATGGGCTACTGAGACCCATAACTAACAAGGAGGAAAGAATGTATAGCCAAGCATATCTCACGTCCCATTTTATGCATCTGTTATTACAAATCAGAAAGAGAAGAAAAATAATGTGGTTGAAGATTTATACTTGTCTTTAAATTTGCAATAATTTAAAATGAATTCAGTATGGAAGCTGGATGAAAATATGAAAAATGGCAATCTGTTACTCCCAACATATTTGCTTACTACCCCTCACACTCAAAGTTAAGGGTGATCTAACAAGCAGTAAGGAAAACTTATCTTCATGCTTTAAAACAATCATTAAATGAAAAAGCATGAACAGCTTAACTAATATACAAATACAAAACATCAAAGGAACAGCCTAATCACCATGTTAGCAGTCAGACCCCTCCCTCTTGCTGAGGAGCACTTTATAGACAGAAAACCATAAATACCCTTCTTAATATGTATATATCTGTGCAAATGTCATAAGCTGCAATGCACTGCCTGGCCTAAAAGGACACCAAATGAATGCCAGACAGGACAAGTCTGGGCATTTAGAAGTGTGGGAAAAGAGTGGCTTACAAACTGACAACCTCCTCCCCACCCTAAAGAGATGCATAGTTCAGGACAATTGGTCTCCCAAGATAGATCTCCTCACCTGGGATTAACCTCATGCACATCCAGTCTCCCTTCCCATCATCCATTTACCCTAATTATGCAACACTTAACACTATCCACAAACCCTTGTAGTTTCCCCATCGGGTTCTCAGAGGGTCATAAAGCACCATTAGCACCTATAGTTCACCTCAGGTAAATTCATCAAGGTCACCCAAATCATTGTTCATTTCTGAAAAACCCATCAAGTCATTGTTTTGGAGGCAAACACATCAGACTGCCCCAGGGAGCATTTTCCTCTATAACTGTAGAACACTGCTCCACAGCAGAGTGTGTGTGTTCCTGGTACTAACAGCATCCACTCCCACTTTGTGGGTCTCTTTTCCCTGTGAAACACTGACTCTTTTGCTGCTGCTTCTGTGGACCTCTACAATATCTGGTAATTACAGCCCCTTTCCCCTCAACTATTCACACTCCTCCGAGTTCCTCTTAGCTAGCCTTGTACGTGTTTAAGTGTGTTTGTATGCTTTGCCTTTTTATTTCTCTTTTAATTAAAAAAAACCCCTTTCCGGATGAACATCTGCCTTTGTTTGAGAGTTCTCTTAATGGGGAAAAATCCTGGTATACACTGGTGGAGATCCCAGTTACCCACCTCTCACTCTGTCTCCTTTAAGCTAACTCCCCCAACTAATTAGGAGACTGCCTATTTGGGTAATAACTACCAATGGGTATATTCTGGCATTCAATACAATACAATAAAGAGGTAAGGAGGTTCTAATATATACTGTGAAATACTCTCCAAGTTGTGTCTCATAATAAGTGAATTGACACAGCAAAGGAAAAAGTTACCATAGGCAATGAATGCAATATAGTTCTCTCTCAGCACAATGTAAGGCAACACAAGTAAACTGAGCAAATTTCTATATGCTTATATTTTGCTAGAAATATATGATTGCAGACCCTTTAAGAAAATAGGTGAACATAGTAATAGCCAACAATATACCATAACACTGAAATATTGTTTAGGATGTTAACCTTACAAATAAAATTTGGAACTCATTTGTACCTTACGATTGAAACGTCTTTTATGGGTTCAACAATGGCTAGGGAAATGTCATTTGTTAAGTCTTCACCAAAGATATATTAACCACTACTGGGAAATCAGAGCAGTCACTCCCTTTTTAATGTTTAAACTTGCAGGAAGAACCAGTCTTTACAAAAGATGGCATTATTTTGATTTCAGTGGTTCTAAAATCTTCCGAGGTCTATTCTAACAAGGTATCTTGGCTTTAAAAAAAACAAAACCAGATTTTAACAGTAATACCCTATTCTGCAGAAAAACAGAACAGTTCTTTGGATGCTATTATCAATAAAGCAGCTTCATAAACCAATACAAATAACAGTGAACACCCCATCATTCCTTTTGAAAAGCAATCTAAAACTTGGAATACAGCAAAGAGTGCCATGAGCCAAATGAAAATTAAGCTGACACGAGGAATATACTTCATACCAAGAATGCTAAGTAAAGATACAACGATGGGCAAGTTAGATACAGCTATGGTAAAACTGAGAATTTAGTTCTTATCTGTTAGTTTCTTTCTGGAAAACATTTTGAATATCAAGCCTCATTATAAGACAATTCCCCACTTCCACTCAGTCTAAGCACACACTAAGCACCACAGTAGGCAGGAAATGAAGAGTGACCACCCACCACCACCACCGGAGACAGGAAGTCAAAGCTGAAGTGGACAGATAGTGGGAATCATCCATTAAAGAAGCCCACCTCCCTCAGTGTGGGAATGGACTCCTGATGGTTTCAGAAGTCTTTGTCAGGGTTTGACAGATTCCAGGCCTAGGTAGCCTGGGCACCTACAAATTTCATTGTGGCGCCTAGTATTTTCAGCAATGATTTTATTATGATGACAGCCAGGGTAATTCCAATTTTAATTTATGTATTTCAACACTTTTGTCATACCACAGCTTGAATAAAACTTCAACAAACTGTGAAGTATTTAGTAGTAGGTTTTGTCGCAGCAACAATTAGAAAGTATGGTCATAAAAATACAAAACCCTGAAGGCTGAATAGTAAATCTAAATTTCTGGGCTGATCCCTAGAGCAAAGGAAAATTTGTCAAGGCCTGGTCTATCTTATGTTCACAGCATATGAGACATCTTAGAGGCCTGTTGTCACAGGTGAATTAAGTCTGTAGCATTCTCTCTTTTTGGTCAGCCTTTTCAAACTTTCAGCCATAATGCCAGAGGACAGGTTGTCTATTCCAGTCACCACTCATTCACAGAATACTCAACTGATTGGACCTTTGGCAATTGATCACAATCACAGCTTTAATCAAACGCCAAAACACATTCTGCACAGAGCTCTGTCACTGACAGTTACTAATCACAAACCACTTTCTCATGGTGACACAGCTAAACAGCAAGACAAGCGAACAATTAGCAGCTGCTGTAGGAAACAGTGGTCATCTGTGACTGGGCACCTAGAATATTTTTATCAAAAACCTTCGTTTGTTTTAAAACAGACAGCAAACCTAACTCAGCAGTGTTAGCTTTTAGTAATGCTTGCTGCTTTCCAGTAAAAATAACCGTTCCTTTTGAGCAAGATGCCAAATCAAGCTAAATATCAACTCAACAGATAGCACTTTGTATCACAAAAAGAAAGATTTTGGCCCAACCTTATCAACTCTTAGCTTGATTTATTTACAAAATTTATATCCCTCCTTTTTGCCCAATCAGGGTAACCAAAGCGGCTGACAAGTAAACATGATATGAAGAACCTGAGGGACCAAACGCATCTCCCTGTCCACTCAGGCCAGCCTGTAAATAGCAATTGTAAAGTGGATTCATAGGAGCTTTCAGGCTGTAATTCAACAGAGCTAATTCCGCTATACTGCTAAATTAGATTTATGGGCTTTGGCCTCAAGTCCACAGTAAGGATCTATCCCATTGTATCTGGGGAAGGAGATAAAAGCCCCTGAGAGCAAGCAGGCAGAATAGGTGAGTTCACTCAGCCCTTGATGACTAACAGTCTTTCTCCTCAAGCCACTTTGTATTAAAGTTGTAGCAAAAACAAGCATATTAAAATGTAAACTTTTTACTGTTTCAGAGAATAAACAATCAGTATGCCTTACAAAGCCTCATTTAGTTCAAAACATGAAACCCATTTAGCTCAAACCTGAAAAACATTATTGTGTCATCTCCACTCAGTGTTGGCTTCAAATAAAAAGTAATGCTCTATCATTGATTTTGTAATGAAGCTGCTACACAAAAAGTCATTTGGACGCTTTACAAAATTTGTAATGTTGAAATTGAGTAAGGGACCAAAAGAATCATCATCATATTTTACTAAGTTGTAAGAAAACGTGCTCCAATTATTAGCTTTCAGAAATCAAAACCATCTTCAAATCATTTTCTTTACTGAATTTACTCACACGAGCAATACAGTAATCCTTGGGGTTTTCCTTTTCCAGACCATACTTCTCCAGAGCTTCAATAACTGCAAAATCTGCAGTATCTGTAGTGGACAGCAGGATTGTCTTGTATGGTATATTTGGTTTCAAACTGTCTGCATAAATCCTCAGTGTTCCACCTATGAAATACATTTCATTACATTTTAATGAGATACAAATGCATCCTGAAAACATGAGTTCATTTATTTTACAAATCTAATCCAGAGGACCACCAAAAATTCAGAGATCAATGAAGGACTTACCTTTCTTGACGACAGAAAGGGCAGAACAGTGTTTCTGAAATAAGGCTGACTGATGCTTTAACCTGTTGAGTCTGTTTCAGATGAGTCACACACCTTCACAAAGCAAGTCTAACAGAAGTCTATTTATGTTTCACACTACACCTTCCTTGATTAGATCTGATTTTATACCAATTCTGCACTACCTATCTTTAACAATTTGAGGTGGCCCTTGCCCTCTCTAAAAGGATTGTTTACTGATTAATATAGTGTCAAACTGCCCTCCTTATAATATTTTCCCACTCCTGCACTTCTGTTGCTTGTAACTGTTTCATCCTGATAAACAGTGGTTTTGGAATCAAGTAACAGGCCAGAGCAGAAATATTATAAACTGGAGAAAACAGAGATCCCAAATAGATTATTAGGACAACAAACTTTTAGGCTGCAATCCTAAACACAGTTTTTAGAAAGTACACCCCATCAGATTCTCTGGGTATTACTTCTGGGTAAATACCCAGAGGATTGCACTGCAAGTTTGCCAAGAAGCCTTGTAAAATCTTCTAAGTACATTATTTTAATTAAAATGTGGAATCTCTAGTACGTATTTATTTTGGTATTATATATAATGAAATATACCCTATGCACAGCTGTTCCCCTCTCTTCCTTCCTTTCTTTAATGAATCCATTCTTATAGACCAATGGCTATGAACGGCTCACACTGACAGGTCAAATAAATTAAAATCAACTACATACCAACCCTCCTATTTTTATGTTTAATAACAATCAACACAAATTTTACTTCTGCCAGGGTAGTTTTAACTTCCATTCTGGTCCATAAGCAATCCTTTCTGAAGAAGGTACCATTGCCATATCGTGTATGAAGGGGGAGATCCAGCTTTGTCTGATTGAAATAAACAGGGCACATTCAAATAAACAATGTTCTAGCGTGCCAATCTTTCCTGTTGTGCAGTTATAAAGCCTGTCTGCAAAGGGAATCCTCCCCTGACAGCCTGTCTTTTCTTCCAAAGGGACAGCATTCAATTGAGCCAACATAAACACAGTCTCTTATATCTGGGTACTGTCAAAAACTCAAAATATAATGGCAAGGAGTTTGACAGGAAAAGACCCAAGTATAATGGAGAACATACTTTACAGGATCTCCTACTAGTACTAAGGAAATCCAATTCATACAGGCTCTTTATTGTAAGAGTTTGTGAAGCTGTCATCCCTGTTATCAAAATAATCTAAGAATATACCCAGGAGTTGCAGCCGTGCCTCGATCAGCCTTAGCCAAGGGCTTTTATATCTATTCTTTTAAAAATAATACAGATAACCATTTTCTGCTGTTGCAAAGTGTATTTTTAGCCGAAACCTAAATGTTGCAGCTCACTCTCCAAGAAACATTGTGCCAATTCTGCACATGGAATAACACCTGCAACCACCTTTTGTGCTCCTGTTACCCTATGCAAAAACTGCAATCAAAGTTTTATCTATCTGTTCCCCAGCAGCCACAGGGGCTTCATAAAGAAAATGTGACCCAATTTTGCTATTAAATATTATTACAGCTGCAGAAACAAATTCTCCAGCTTTCATGTAAAAAAAATAATCAGACAATTGCCTTCATTGCTATTGCAGCTTTGGAGTATACATCTGTAAGAGGATATGACCAATTCATATTTGCATGAAAAATTATTCCTAAATACCTAAATTTACTAACTTGCTCAATAGGTTTCCCATCTACATACCAATTCAAAACACCCCAAGACTTACATTTGGAGAATTCCATCACCTTACACTTACTATGATTAATTACCACTCCTCCTTCTTTGCAATAGATAGAAAATGCTTTCATAAGGCAACACAATCCTACAAGAGTTCTTGCTAAGATAATTGTGCCATTGGCATAGAGCAAGGCAGAAACCGGAATGGATGCCAGCATGGGATAATGAAAAAATTATTTGTTCAACCTTTGCACCATGTCTTCAATAGGGAGCCAAAAGTCATCCCTGCCTAACCCCATTCTGCAAAGGGAACAGATCAGTTAAATGAGCTTTGGTACTACACCATACTTGCCCCATAAGAGGGTTCCACATAGAGTTTGTATCAACCATAATAGTCTACCACATATTGAAAGCCTTTCCAGTTTTTGCCATAAACGATCTCTAGGGATACTATCAAAGGCCACCTACATATTTATAAAGGCTACATACAATCATCCACCCAAGACAGACTTTTTAAATCAAATGATTAAGTAGACTTCCTTCCCACAAAGCCAGCCTACTCATGTCCAATTATTTTTTCAGAGTGGACCCAATCCCTCAGTCAGCATAACAAAAAAGCTCACTAGTAACTGTAAGCATAATGGCTACTAAACCTAGAAGCAGCTTCTGGCTTGGACTTCCCTATCCAAGGGAGACAATATATTGGGCCAGATCTATTCTGAACTTCAAAAGATTAAGAAATATGTCCTATTTAGGATGCTATTTTGAAAGAGATAAAGGTTGGTTCTGCCCTTTTAAATCATTCTATAAACTTCTAGTGTAAGCCGCCCTGAGCCCATCTGCGGGGAGGGCAGGATAGAAATCCAATAAAATAAATAAAATAAAATAAAAAAATATTGCTTAAAGCTTCAGAGGAAATAAGATCCCTACTTGTGGGGTATTTAAAAATGCCAATCTGTATTTCAAAGTGCAATCCTAAATAGTGCTACACCTTTCTAAATCCAATGAAGTCAATGGGCTTAGAAGAGTGTAACATAATGTTAAGGTGTAACATCAAGAGGACATGCCAACTTTAATAAAGTAGGGTTAAAGTTGTATTATCCAGCACTTGATAATCCAGAACATTCAGTTAACTGTCACTGCCCACAGGGCAAATTCTCCCCCCTCAGCAACTGTAACTCTGTATCTTCAGGCACACACATGTCCTAATCCAACCTCTTCAAGTAGCCAGCTTGATGCCTCCAGTTGCTGCAGGGCTTCTGACAGTTTGTGTTTCCAGCTGATGTCATCCTTAGTTGCCACTACCCCCTTCAGCCTGCCTGAGGCCGCTGGGAGCCAGCTCTGCTGCAGGGATCCCAGGCAGCTGGCCTACTTGTCTGCCTGCCTCATAAGACAGCTCCGTGGGCAGGGGAAGGGTCCCAACCAAGTATGGGGGCTATTGCCATAGTGATCCCAAAATGATGGGTGTGGTCACTGCTTACTGTTCTGTGCAGAGGGCAAGGCAGAGATAAGCTTCAGTATCCAGCACTTTTGATTAACCAACAACCCCATTTCCCGTACAGCTGGATAACAAAGATTTTACTGTACAATGGAAAAAAGGAAAGGAGGGATTCTAAGATTAACAGACCACAACCAACTCTCTGAATCATATTCAAAGGGCTCACTAAGAGTAATTAAAAGGCATAAAATAATATAGTTAAGATACATGAGAAACAGCTTGGGATAAATTTAAAAAATCTCTTTATTAATTATGTATTATTTGGGCATGAGTTCAAGGAGAAGGAATAAAATAGTTTCTTAAGCTACCACTGGTAATGACAAAGGAAATTCTTTTTGTTCTTAACACTTATAATGTAAGCAGACATTGCCAGTGATATGGTGTATTAGAGAATGTATTAATTTGTATAGCACTTTAAAATGTATGATTTGTGTTGCAATCATGTTATTTGGAAAATAATAAAATATTAAAAAAAAAAAAAGGGCTCAATGGAGACAGGCAAATTCGAAAGTTTCTGAACAGCTTCACCTTTCATACATTTTGTGATTAAACCATCACCTGAATCTGGCCTGCCATCAGAGCTCCGGAACTCTTGCATCCTTTTCTCAAGTTTTTGTTGTCTCCGTCTTTTCATTACCACCTCTGGATTGGATATTGTGCGAGTGAAACTGGTTTCAGGCATATCTTTGTAGACCTCTGCTGCAAGACGAGAATTCTCACTGCCGAATTAATTTAAAGAATCATACATTATTCATTCCTATTGACCCAAAGTATCATTCACAACAAAGTATGTAAAGGAATCTGAAAGGGATGACATAATAATGAAGTTCCATATAAATTTTATTACAGTCACCTTAGACTAAGCTTTGCTTTGTCTTACAATATCAACTCCACCCAAGATATGTACTGATATAAACAATATTGTACGTACTATTGAATATCAAGTGCAGTCAAACCAGCAAGGAAATTAAACTGAATATATTAAGGGATCAATAACAATCTATTTGCAATTAAACAGTAGTTTAAAAGCAGTTTAAAACAGTAGTTTAAAAGTTAAGAAAAAAAGTGTTCTTTAAATAACAGTCGTGATTGGAGAGTGTTCTCCCTCCAGTGTCAGAAATAGTTATCAACTTCTCTGCTTGCAGAGACCTACCCAGATGATTAGTGCCTTGATTAAATAAACCAAGAGGAATAACAAGACTAACAGATCAAGTATACAGAAAATAATCAAAAGGCCAAAAATGGAGACAAAAGTATTTATATCATGCTTAACATTTTACATCTTTCATCTATGGGTGGGGAGAGAGGAGGAATTTTTAATGACTGCAAACTGGATAACTAAATATTTAACAACTTCCTTCAGAAAGCTTCTTTTGCCTACAAATACCAACTTTGCATACATACACAAGAAGAAGAGAAGAAGAAATTAGATTTATACCCCGCCCTTCACTACCAAAGGAGTCTCAGAGCAGCTTACAAACTCCTTTCCCTTCCCCTCCCCACAACAGACACTCTGTGAGAAGAAGAGAAGAGAAGAGATTGGATTTATACCCCGCCCTTCACTTGGAGTCTCAGAGCGGCTGACAAACTCCTTTCCCTTCCCCTCCCCACAACAGACTCCCTGTGAGGTAGGTGGGGCTGAGAGAGCTCTGACACAAACTGCTCTTTTTCAAGGACAGCTATGCCAGAGCTTGTGACTGACCCAAGGTCACATCAGCAGGTGCAAGTGGAGGAGTGGGGAATCAAACCCGGTTCTCCCAGATTAGAGTCCACACACTTAACCACTACACCAAACTGGGGCTGAGAGAGCTCTGACAGAAACTGCTCTTTTTCAAGAACACCTCTGGCAGAACTATGGCTTGCCCAAGGTCATCCAGCAGGTGCAAGTGGAGGAATGGGGAATCAAGCCCGGTTCTCCCAGATTAGAGTCTGCGCACTTAACCACTACACCAAACTGGCTCACAAGTATCAAAATAGATACCTAAATATCAAAATATGCATGCAATCTTCTTATATTTGCCACAGTGAAAACTGCTTTTATATAATTTGGGAGGAAATAAAACCAACTGTTCTCCCTAATTATGGACATTCGATAGAAGTCACACATGACCAGGCAAAGTAGTATATACATTTATGGGACAATTTCCAGAACTCACAAGAATAAGAATTTTTTAAAAAACTGAATTCAAGAGCCATTTCTGAGGTAAACTGAGAAACATTTGGATGACCACCATTCATTCTGAAGAAATCTGGGAACATACCAGTCCAAGCAATTTTTAAGAGAAGTAGTCATGATGACTGCCTCAGCTGCCTAGCATTCCGATCCTGAAGTGATAAACGGAATGCATGTCTAAAACTATAGCTGTTGTCTACTAAACAGTTGTCAAATTAATAAATAAAATATCAGCTACCATATTTATTGTATTATTTATTTTATTCAATTTATACCCCGCCCTCCCCGCTATTTGTTTCTAAATATTATTGCACAAAAATAATATTAACTGCCAATCTGCATTTCCCTCTGAGAAGCCTTTGCTGCATGGCTTTATCAGAGAATTGCTTGTGATCAAGGTAAACTGAGACTGAAAAACAATAAGAGTGGATCTACCATTTCCTTAAAAGGAGCTCCTCTATGAAGTGAATAGAGCACCATATGTGCTAGGAACATCTTTAGACTAGACTGCATTATCATGCTGCTGTTCCTATTACAGTTGCCAACTTCCAGGTAGGATCTGGTGTTTTCTTGGAAGTACAACTGATTTCCAGACTACAAAGTTCTTTTCTGATAGATGTCTTAAGGTGGCTACAGAGAGCTGATGCTCTGGGACTTCCATTTCTCCTATGGTATACCACAGAGACACAGAGAGACTGACTGATAATTGCCTGTCAAAACACTAAAAGCTAGAAGGAATTTAGGAAAGGACAGGATTGCTGTTGGTGGGCATCTTCCTATGAGTCTTCACATTGGATTTTTTTTCTCCTTAACACTGAAAAAAGTCTGAAGACAATTTTGATAGATGTTTTTAGTTGAGTGATAGGAGGCATGAAATTTATATTGGACTTTAAATTGGACATTGGACTTTGGTGGGAGGAAGCAACCTCACAAGAATGGGATACGCTGATCTTTGACCTGGATGTGATGTCATATCTTTCATGAGTTCCCTTCGCTCTCCAAACTCTACCCTTCCCCAGACACTGTCCTCAAATCTTCAGGACTTTCAGGATCTGGAGTTGGCAAGTCTAGCTCTTGCCTGGGAAGAGGATTTAAGGGAAACATCCGCCAAGACACACTGAATGTATTGTAAGAAAAGACACATCAAAAATCCTTCAAGCAAGAGGGAAGACAAAGGTAGTAGATTCTGTGCATTCCTGTCATATCTGCTCTTTTCCTTCACACAACAATCACAGAAGAAAATACACAAACCACAAAATTTATGCTGACAAAGAGGTAAAAATATTGTAAATTTAAATTACATCAAAATCCTCTCCTCACAATAAATCATGTGTGTGTACTTATGAAAACAAAAACCCACCAATTCTGAACAAATTATAGTTAGCCATGCAAGAACCAACCCATGTTACAAGAGTGTTCTATCTCCACTCTGGAACTATTCATCTATGTACACGAATGTATAAATTAGGAACTGAAACTCACATATCATCCCCATGAAATGGTCTATCATCCAAAGCTTGCCGCAATGCCTCTTTCTCTCGCCTCTTTTTTTCCTTCTTTTCTTTCTTTGATAGAGTTCGTTTGAAGTTCTGGATCACTCCCTCTTTCTCTTGTTTCTCAGGGCCATTGCTTTGAGCCTTCTGAAACAAACCGGTAAACAACTCTAACCACTTTAACTTCCAAGTAAAATCTTATTTAAAACTGAAGGCAAAACAGGTTTGCACTTACCTGTAACTGTTGATCATCGAGTTGTCTTCTGTGCAGCCAAAAATAGGGGATTGCGCATACACAGGCTTGCCAACAGAGAAAATTTTCTAGGTTCTTAGGAGTGCAGAGGGTGCACCCCCACCTTGGCTCATGCTCACAGCATTCCCGCCAAAAGTGCATTGAGGACAAAGGGGGACACCATTTTTCCTCAGTCCTTCCACATCACTGAGCCCTCCTGCAGCGAAACAAGCCACTGTAAGACCTCCCAGTGGGGTAGGCGGAAGGGAATGTGTGCCTGCATAGAAGACAACTCAATGAAAACAGTTACAGGTAAGTGCAACCCTGTTTTCATCTTTGGTCTTCTTTGCAGTCCCACATACAGGAGAGTATCAAGCTTCCCAGAGGTGGGTGCAGTGTTCCCACTAAACTGCGATAGCGTGCACTGGCGCACAAATTTTTAGCCTTTAGCACACAGATTTTTGGCTCAGTGCAGGGTGAAAAAATTCCAGTGAGTCACACCTCAAGGAAAAGTGAGGTTCTTCCAGTGAGGTGGGGTTTTCAGGCAGGATAGAGTCCCTT